AGAAGGAGGCAATGTTGGAGCAGTGGTGCAAGGAGAAAGGTTAAGAGCTCAAGCTAACATAAAGTAGAAATGGTGAAGGAAAAACAAGGATTTGTGAAATATTTAACAGGTTGGATTGACAGCACTCCCTGCCCCCAAAGTCGAGGATAGTACCTGCCACATGGTAGGTACTCAATAAAAACTTTCTGGGAAAAGGTAGATAAGGAAGAAATAAAGAGTCGAAGACATAGTCTAGTTTGAATATTTGAGTCATGAACTAGAAAGTCGAGCAAGAGACCAAGGATCTGGAAAGAAGATAATGAGTTAAGCTTAGAATGGGACGAGTTTGCCTTTTCAGTAGAAATCTAGATGGAGAGGTCCACGCATTTACCAGGAACCCAGGAGAATGTCTCAGTTAAACATACAGAACTGAGAGCTATCGATTCCCTATTCTTAAGCTTGTCTTTCTCTTTCGTTCTTAGTCAAAGCAGGAAGAAAAACAGGGGCACTATGGGTGGTGTCTGTAGAAGTCAGGATTCTCCAGAGAAAGAGAACCAATAGGAGGTGCAAATATATAGTAAGAGTCTCATTTTAAGGAATTGGCTCACATGATTATGGAGATTTGTTGGGTCTAAAATCTGATCGAGGGGGCTGGCGGGCTGGAGACTCAGAAAAGATTTAGAGTTCGAGTCCATAGGTAGTCTGCTGGAAAAGCCGATGCTGCAGGTGAAGTTCAAAGGCAATCTGCTAGAGAATTCTTCTTCCTCCGGGGGAATTAGCCTTTTGCTCTACTCAGGTCTTCAGTTAACTGGATGAAGCAAGCTGCTTTATTCAAAGTTACTGATTTAAATGTATTAATAAATCACATCCAAAAACATCGTCACACAAACATCCAGAATAATGTTTGACCAAGTATCTGGGTACAGTGGCTCAGCCAAGTTGGCACAGAAGATTAACTATTACAGTGTACATGCTATAACTCATTCCCACCTTACTTACTTTATACAAATACACCTTCTATGTAGACTCCAACGCAACAGCAAGGTTGATAATAATCATTGCACAGTAGAGGGAAAACCCCTTAGGAGTGCAATGGCCTTCATTCTTAGTTATCCTCAGAGAAAGGAGAATGATGGTACATTTTCTATGTTCTTGGGACTGTATGAGCTATGATCTGTGGGGGGCGGAAGTAAATCTCCTCCACACTTGACAGAAGGATCGAGGTATAGATATTATACAACTGCCGGAGCCTCTTTATAATAGAGGAGTAGGGGTTAACACAGAATGTCGTTTCCCAAAACGAATCCATAGCCCAATGTGTACATTTCCAGTTCCACTTTACAACCAGACGACGAAGCACAAATTGCCCTCCAAGTCTTTGATGCACAGTTTTTAATAGTTAAATTATAGTAAGACCAACCCCCATGTTCTTGACATTGTTTTCAAATCAGCTACGAAACCTCATAGTCAATGGAATTAAATGGAATCAATAGGCCTAAAAGAACAAATACCTTCCACTGACCTTTGTGCATAACATTTACGGAGAATTATTGAGCTAGAAAAATCTTCCCTTAAAAACACTTATTAAGGGGCTTCCCTGGTGGCGCAGTGGTTAAGAATCCGCCTGCCAATGCAGGGACATGGGTTTGAGCCCTTGTCCAGGATCCCACATACCGCGGTGCAACTAAGCCCGTGCGCCACAACTAATGAGCCTGCACTCTAGAGCCCACGAGCCATAACTACTGAAGCCCGTCTCCCTAGAGTCCGTGCTCCGCCACAAGAGAAGCCACCGCAGTGAGAAGCCCGCGCACCGCAACGAAGAGTAGTCACCGCTCTCTGCAACTAGAGAGAAAGCCCATGCACAGCAACGAAGACCCAATGCAGCCAAAATAAATAAATAAATAAATAAATAAATTTATTTGAAAAACATTGTCTAAAAAAAAAAAAATTTATTAAGTGTTTAGAGGACCTATGAAAAGTTATCCTGTAAGTACATATAAAATTTGAAAGTATTACCGCAACACGCTGTAAAATCATTTTGGAAGACACCACAGTTTTCTCAAAATTCATAATCAACTTGGAGATATTTTATA